GAGCAATGGGGGAGGGGGAGCCTGGAGCAGGGGGATCTAGGGGGAGCAATGAGGGAGGGGGAGCCTGGAGCAGGGGGGATCTAGGGGGAAGGAAGAAGCAATGGGGGAGCTGGAGGGGAGAGGGCGCTGGGGGGGAGGGATCCACGGGGGGAGGGGGACCCTGGGAGAGGGAGGAAGTGGTGGTGGGGGGGAGCCAGAGGGCGGGGAAGACTGGGAGCTGGCAGGAGCAGAGGGGAACCTGGGGGGAGCAGGGAGAGCTGGGGGGGAGGGGGGAGGCTTGTGGGGAGCTGGAAGGGGAGGGGGGGTCAGAGAGGGAGCGGGGTCTGTGTATATCCCTACGGGGGGGGCGGCAATCCCCATCTCACCGGCCCCGGGGCCTTTCCCCGCAGACACCATTGAGTGCGAGGGCCGCAGCCTGCTCAAGACCTTTGTGGCAGCTTCAGCGCACAGGTGCGTGCGGTGCCCCCTCCCCCCCAACACCCCCCGCATAACCCACAATTGCCCCTTTGATCCCCAGTGCCCCCTTGTGGCCTGCGGCTCCCCTACGCTCATGGCTCATCCCTGTCCCGCCCCCCACTTTGTGCTTCCAGGGGGGAATCCGTCCACGTTTTCGGCTTCGAAATCCCCGAGGAAGAGTTCCGGGCCGGCTTTGACCCCGATGTGACTGTGCGGTGAGTCCCCCCGCCTACGCCCCAAGCCAACACCCCTCCCTCCCCAATAAGTGGGGCCAGAGGCACAGGGTAGCTGCCCGCTCTTGACGCAACAGGCTTAGGCTCTCGGCAGACTCAGGCAGCGGCGCGTCGGTTACACCGGGGCAGCTACCCCCCTCCCACAGCGAACCCCCTGGGTTGACCTTTGACCTCTCTCCCTCCCAGGTTGCTATACCAGGATGGCTTCACAGATCCCCTGCGCTGGACCGGGGAGGCCGGGGGCTTCTGCGGGGAGGAGTTCACAGCGCTGGGAGTCTCGGGGCAACTGGCCAGGGGACCCGCGGGACCTGCCACCGTCGTCCTGGACTCGCTCAGCTGGCTTCTGCTGCGCCAGCCTCTGCCCGCCGTCTGCCAGGCGCTGGGACGGATCCCAATGGCGGCTGCCAGCGCAGGTCTGGACTCCCCGGGGGCGCTGGGAGCCAGGGCTCCTGGGTTCTCTCCCCGGCTCTGGGAGGGGAGGGGGGGCTGGTGGGTTAGAGCAGGCGGGGCTGGGAGCCAGGACGCCTGGGTTGTCTCCCCGGCTCTGGGAGGAGAGTGGGGGCTAGTAGGGTAGAGCAGGGGGGTTGGGAGCCAGGACTCCTGGGTTCTCTCCCCGGCTCTGGGAGGGGAGGGGGGGCTGGTGGGTT